GCTTGCTTGCTGGCTTGATTGCTGGCTTGCTTGCAACACACACACACACACACACACACACTAGTAAACGATATGTGGATACATAAGTAGATACTAGTAAGGGTTTTGGATGAACTATTCGCTTATCTTTTTTTATGGCACCACACCAGACTAGGGTTTAGCCAGAGGGTGTTTACGATCCCTCCTTCGGGCGACCTTTACGTTTCCCGTATTCAGATGCTCCACCATGCCGGCGTTGTTCTAGAGCCTTAATTGTCAAGACTATCCCTTCGAGTTCCTTACTACACCTAAACCATGACATACCCCAACCCCCTAATCTAAGTATTGAGGCCTCTATCACAGGATAGAATCTTTGTAGAAACTCCATGGTCCATAGAGCCTTTCAAAGAAGCCCTTTAAGGAAGCTTCTTCGACGTAGCAAGGGCGCTATATTGGAGGTGTTAGTTTGAACGGAGGGTCCCTCATGTCCTCAATTCATAGGGAACCTTAGGCGGGGTCAGGGGGAGGGGGTTTACGGGATTAAGGCCCAAAAGTCCCTATGATAATTCTACGATGGAGAAAGCAGGGTTTTGCGATTCGTTCAGGGTGGGTTGTGGTCGTAGGTTGGGTCGTTTGGGATGGTTATCGTCGTAAGTTGGGTGTAGGGCTTCGGGCTTAATGGTTTGCGTGTAGATTTTAGGGTTAGACTGCAGGGTGTTTAGGTTTGGGTTCAGCATGTAATTAGGCGTTGGTGTTGGGTTCTCCCTACCTACTACGTCTACCCGAACTGTGCAAGCAAGGTTTATGCTTCACTACATCAGACTCTCCGCCACTTTGCCAGCGTTCGTTTCTGCCCTGGCAAATCCAGTAGTTCAGGGTTCAGGGTTTGTACGGTGAAGATCTCTTAGTTCAGGGTTTAGGTTTAGGGTTCATATGGTCGAGATCCCTTTGTTCAGCCTTAGGGCTTATAAGGTCAAGATCCCTTAGTTCAGGGTGTAGGGCTAGGGTTTATAAGATCAAGATCGCTTAGTTTAATAGAGAAGCCTAAATAATTGCCAATATTACTGTTGGGTTCCCTTTGGTAAGAATACTATAAAAACGCCCAAAGCCCTATTCGAATTATTCAGGCCCTACGTTAGAGTATTAGAGTTTCCTAAGCCCTAAACCCTAAACCCTGAACCCCAAACCCCAAACCCTAGACCCATAAACCCTACCCTAAACCCTAGACTCTAAACCCTAGACCCTAAACAAGCTCAGAGGAAGATAGCGGGGTTTAGGGTTTAGGGTCAAGCCGTAGAGTTTAGGGTTTATATAACGTCAAGGGACCAGGGAAGCAGGAGCGTCGCTTGAGGGGGTTGATGCTCGGCTTTGCAGTGGAGGATTTGGCGAGACGAATAAAGGGGCCTTAATGATTCGAATAGAGTTTGGGGGCCCATTCTACTAGTATTATAATAAGGACCCCCCCAAAAAAAAACCTTATTCTAATTATTAAGGCCCCTACATTAGGGCTCGCAAAACCACCAAATATCTCCATACTGGCGGTTGGGGGGCAGGGGGGAGGTGTGCGCCAAGCTGAGTCGGAGGCTGGGTCGTCTTTGCCCGGTGCGCTGTTGCGAGGCTAATATAGAAGTCTAAATAAGTACCAATACTATTCCTTAGGGTTCCGTATTATAAGCATATACTGTACCCTACATTATCTGTTGGGCGATTTTGTCTTTTTCAGATCGGGGGCTACGCTGCAGTTGCTACAACTCTTGTTAGTCCGACCGCTCGTGATCAGCTTCCGATCTTGTTGTGTTTTGCCGCTGCTGCTGTCACCAGTCCTGATTTTTGTGCTGTCGCCGTGGCTCTGAAACTTGCTCTTGCCGGTGGCTTATGTCTGGTGTACCCGTCACACTATTCTCAGTTGATTTTCGTTCCTTTGTATTCGTTTCCTGCTCGTTTCACTTCATGGCAACTCCGAGCTACACACAACGGCAACGCCAGCACCAGCCTCCCCGACCCCCAGCCCCGCCACAACCGCTGCCACCGCCCTCACCGCCACAACCCGGCCTCCACCGCGCAACGACGACAGCCGCGACAACGATATCGATTATTACAACTACTACTGACTCTTTCAAGGAAGCGCTCATCCTCTGCTGTTCGAGGAGGGCTCCTGCAAAGTGCAAATGGCTAGCAAAGGTTGACCCCAAGGATGAGTTCGACAGGGTTTCAGACGGCTTCTTGCGAGCTTAGGCTTTTAGAAGGTTTCATGTAGTGTTTATTCCCATCTCATGTAGCTTTAAGCATGTTTGAATAGGGCTCGCTCTTGCAATTCTGACTGATTCGTGTGCTTTGGAAGCCAGGGCAAGGGATCAAAGGCGGTTGTCGAGGCGACGGGAGATTGAGCCGCGTAGGTTCATTGGGTTCTTCTTCACGATAGAACATCACCAGACTCGTCAACTCTCACCCTAATCCCAGCAGCCCTCATGTTTACGTGCTTCCACACAGAGTCGACCCCTGATCCCAAAGCCCTAAACTGAGTCTAAGCCTTCATCATCCTTCATCTGTAAAAAGAAACCACAAATTACCCTAAACTGTAAAAAGAAACCACAAATTACCGTAAACTGGAAAAAGAAACCACAAATTACCCTAAACTGTAAACAGAAACCACAAATTACCCCGAACTGTAAAAAGAAACCACAAATTACCTTCAACTGTAAAAAGAAACGACACATTACCCTAAACTTTAAACAGAAACCACAAATTACCCTAAATTGCCCAAGCGCCAAACCCGAGCCCACCGCCGGCCCAAGGGCAGAGAGTCATTCTGTTGGGCCTCTTGAACGACGCGGAAGAGGCACTGCTCATATACGCGTTCTTAGGTTTAGGGTTGAGGGTTTAGGGTTTAGGGTTTAGTGGTGTAAGGTTGAGGCATCAGGGTTGCGGCATGTACGGTTTTGGGTTTGGGGATTAGTGCACCTCGGGGGTGCAGAGCTAGCGGTCTCAAGTAGCTCGCCCTTGTTGAAACTTGAATTAATACAGGGTCGGACTATTTAGTATTACATAAACTCTAGTATACAGTGTTTCCTCAGGTGTCGCTTGTAGAAGTCTTGCGTAATGTACCCCATGACGCTATTCCAAGTGTTCACGCCCCTATGTTAGCAGGCTTAATGGTGACCTTGCGAACCGTGTACTGCAAGGTCCCGAAGTCGCAGTACCCGCAGCGAGAATCAAGTTGGATTGTGATGACAGCACAGGACACAAGAAAGCAACTAGCGAACTTTCCGTATGCTTGTAATGGCGATTCTACAGACTACCCCCTAAATCGAACCCTCAAGATCATAAGCTTCCTGGGCCAAATGTTTAAGAATGTAGACCCTCAACCCTAAACCCTTAACCCCTAAACTGTAAAACCCTAACCCCTAAGCCCCAAAACCCTAAACCCATCTGAAGACCCAAAGCACTTCCCCAGAACCCTGAGATAGAAGCCTGAACAGTTACACCGTCTTACTCCGTGTAAAATTCGTTCACCAGTCCATCAGGGGTTTAGGGTTTAGGGTTCAGAGGTATAGAACAGTATACCCCAACAGCCTTTCCTAACATATTATGGCCCTCCTGTGCCATATCAGTAAAGCCTTTAAACCTCAACACCCTAAACCCTAAACCCTTAGACCTCAACAGCCGATCTCTTCACAGGCATTTGCTTTCATGAAGACCTACCTCGACAACAACCCACCAGCAGCTCCGGCACGGTTCTCGCACCTCGCATTGCAGATAGTTTGGTGCGGTAGAGCTTGGTACCTGCGTCTTCTGCCCACGAAGTATCGAGTACACGGAACCTTGTATGCCATCTGTTCATTGTCTTGTAGAGATTCCGGAGATCCGCCATCTCATACGCAGATGAAGGACTACAGGAACCCAAATTCAAGGCTTCTGCGCCTGAGAGCCTCAGATCTTCACCTCCCCCATTACTCAGAGCTTTCGGTGATCAACTGCCACTGCCATAAACATATGAGCAGTTCTCTATGTTTTAATTGAGTATGACACCCTTATAACAATGGGCCCCAAAAGATATCCAATTTAGAGAACTGAGGTTGATAGGATTGATAGGTATGTAAGGTCAAAGTGGCCAGTCTCGCTGATTTGAGTTGAGGAAAGTTAGAAAGGGGCGGGCACACCTCTCTCCCTTCCCCAGTCCCAAAAGGAAGACAGGTGCGAATATTTAGTTTATCCATTACGACCTCAATTAGTTCAGGCTTGTATCCTTCCTGGGAGGCGACTGGCCAAACCAGGCCGATCCTCAAACTCCAGTTGTGAGCCAGCACCACCACTACTACTACTACT